GGGGGGGAATATATGCGCATCGCTAATGTTCACATCAGCTGGCTACAGGTAGGCATCCATCCCTTCCCCATTTTAGACATGGGAAAATAGGCTGGGGGAAGGGAGCTACTGGCCCCAGGCTGGGTTTGCCCCCAGATCTGCCCGCCATTGCCCCACTCGGCCTTTTCCCATTGCCCCACTCGGCCTCCCCAGGAAACCCATCTGACAGATGCTGAAAATGAGGGGGGCACCCAGCACATCAGTAAGGAGGCTAGGAGCAGATCTCAACTCTTCCATTCCCATGTTTAGTGCTTTCTTGGTTTTTCTTTCAAAAGGAAACGACAAGGTGCCCTCAGTGGTCATGTCGGGCAGAGAAGGCAAAGTTCCCAGCTTTCCACTAGCCTGTGTCCTCCGGTCCACACACAAGGTGCCCAGCATTCCTCCCTACCTGGCCACCTCTGAGGGAAGAAAGGTGCCACTCATACTTCCTCAAATGTCCTCCTATTCTGCCCCCTTCTCAATGCTTAAGGTGGGGAAGGGACCATGACCCCTCCTGGGTGGCTCTTCAGGCCCCAGCTGAACAGTCCCAGGAGCCTGGAGGGTGTCGTGCATGCTAGTTCGCCATTCCCCTGAGCAAGCCTCTCTGACAGCTGGGCCCCAGCACCCATATCAGCTCTACCTTAGCAGAGAAGGGAAGACAGAAGACAAGGGCACGGGACCTGGGACCAGTTGAGCGGCATGGGGGAGGGGCACGGCTGCACTCACATTGCCCTTCTCAAACAGGTCGGTGTTGTTCCTGCAGTTGTAGAGCAGCCGCTCCCCGGTGTCCCCCACGTCGCCAAAAAGGCACAGGTAGACGTTGGCATCGGTTCCTGCACCTTCGAGTTCTCCGGTGCACACGGTCACACGGTACCGGGCCACTGTCAGGTAGAGAAAGGGACATAGTGGCTGGCCACCCCCTGCTCCCAGCACTGGCCCTGCTGCTCCTGCCTCTAAGTGCCTCCTCCCTCTTTCCCTCCAGGTCTTGCTTGGGCTGGCCCTGCTCCCTCCCCAGCTACACAAATCCGGACTCAACCCACTCCAGGATCAGCGTCCCTCTTCCCACATAAACCAGAGGCTCCCAGTCCTGGTCAAGCATCAGAATCCCCTGGGAAATTCTTGAAGAATGCAGATTCCTGTGTCCCACCTAGGCTTCCCAAGTTTTAGTCTCCAGAGGTGGGATCCCTAAAACTGCTTTGTTTACATGCTCCCCCAGGAGACTCTGATGGGGTTGGCAGTGTTTGGGGACCACAGGTCTGATTCAAATATTTCGACACTTGATTCCATCCAACCCAGCAGATTCTTTTGTCTTAGGTTGTTCTCCAATTCATATGTGTCCTGTCTTCCCTAGTAAGAGAATTTTTCTTTGTGAAACAGAACTGAGCCCCCCTTTTCTTCAGAACTGAAAGGCACAAAATGCAGCCACCGTGGGAGGGGCAGCAGGTCCTTTCTCTGTTGAAAATGTACCTTGGAGGAGGTGGACTGCATCCCCACACATCACAGCCTCCCTTCTCACTTCAAATAAGCTAGAAAGCAAAGTTCATTCACTCATTCACTCACTCATTCACTCATTGGTCCTGCATATGTTGACTGAAGCCCAGTCGGTGTTTGGCATCATGATAGGACAGGGAATCAGCAGCGAGCAAGTCCAACAGACTCCTGTCCCCACGGTTACAGCAGAGTTGAGAGGGGGCAGGTGGAGAGGAAAGATGGACAGCAAAATCGTAACAAATTATAACCGGGGAAATTTCTGAGTTACATCTGCAACAAAGATTACATAGGAGCAGGGTGCCCTAAAGTGGAATGGAAGTGGGGAGGGGGAGTGTGGTGAGTGAGTGTAAAGGATTTAGAGATTCAGCGAGGAGGTGATGTCTGGCAAAATGCTAATGACAGGAGTGGACCACAGGAAGTTCTGAGAGAAGAGGGTACAGGAAAGTATGGAGCACCAGGGTGGGGATGGGTATGAGTAGCAAATGTTCCAGCAGAGAGAAGGCTAGTATATCTTGGGGAGGGGAGGAGGGGAGTTAGATGAAGTCCAGAAGGGGGCCAAGGCCAGCACTGGGGGTATGACAGGTCAAGGTAAAAGCGTGACTTTCTAATGGGAAGTCATTAGAGCACTTTTAGTGAGCATGTAACTCGATCTGATTTATGTTTTAAAGGGTACTCTGGCTGCCATGTGGAGAACTGATTGTAGGAGTGAATCAAAGAGGCCAGTTACAGAATAATTACAGTTGTCTAGAAAAGAGAGGAGAGTGCTTAAGACTGGGGTGCTGTGAAGATGGAGAGAAGCCAGTAGATTAAAGATCTATTTTGGAGGGAGAACCAACAGTACTTGGCGATGGGTTGGATAAGTAATTGAGGGAAAGAGGAATCATGGATGACTCCTAGGGTTTTGGCTTGGGCAACTGGGTACTGTTCCCAATAAGAAGTATGGATGCCTAGGGGGAAGGATAGGTTTGGAGATACAGATCAATGGTTCTGTTTGTACATTATAAATTTGTGGTGTCTATTAGATGTTCATAAAGGGAGGCCAAGATGGCAATTGCATGTGTGTCTGGGGAGTCAGGACTGTTGGCATGACTGGTCATCACTGGCACATGGATTCCACTGAAATCTATGGGAATTAGATCCCCCATGGAGAGGATGTAGACAAGGATTAGAGGGACACCAACATTAGGGATCAAGCCCAGAAGAAGTTAGCAACTCAGATGAGAAGCAGCCATGGAAGCAGGGGGGACATGTCTCTGTAGCCAAGAGAAGGCAGGAATGATTTCAGTAGTAAATGCCACGAAAGATAGAGAGTGATCTTTGGTTTAGCTACATGGAAAGGACTTGTGTTGAGGACAAGAGCAGCCTCAGTGAAATTGTGGGGGAAGGGAAGAATCCCTCCAGCAAAGTCTGAACAGAGTGAGAAAGAAGTGAGAAAGTGGGTACAGCACCTGGATGCCTGGATAGACCTCTCTCAAGAAGTCTGTTGTAAAGAGGAATACAAAAGGGAAATAATAGTTGGAGTTGGGATTAGGTTTAAAGATGCTTTATTATAAAATATTTAAGATGTGAGATACTAGATTATTATACTAAGTGGGAATGATCCTGTAGAGAAAAGAAATGATGATGCAGGAGAGAAGGTGAAGTTCTTTAGAGAGGAAGAAGAAGAATGACCAGAGCATAGATAAAGGACTAGATTTTCCAGGGTTCAAGAAACTACAACTATGGAGACTGCAAGGAGGGCAGAGGTATAGCCTCAGAGGAGTGACAGGTTGTGGGAGAGCCTTGAGTACAAACTGAGATATACTGAGTCATAAACTTAAAATAAGGCCAGTCCTGGGGCACCTGGGTGGCTCAGTCACTTAAGCACCCAACTTTGGCTCAGGTCATGATCTCATGGTTTGTGAGTTCGAGCCCTCCATTGGGCTCTGTGCTGACAGCTCAGAGCTTGGAGCCTGCTTCAGACTCTGTGCCTCCCTCTGTCTCTGCCCCTCCCCCACTAGTGCTCTGTCTCTATCAAGAATAAATAAACATTAAAAAATTTTTTTTTAATTTTTTTTAATGTTTATTTATTTTTGAAACAGAGAAAGAGAGCATGAATGAGGGAGGGTCAGAGAGAGGGAGACACAGAATCTGAAGCAGGCTCCAGGCTCTGAGCTGTCAGCACAGAGCCCGACATGGGGCTTGAACTCATGGAGTGTGAGACATGACCTGGGCCGAAGTTGGATGCTTAACTGACTGAGCCACCCAAGCTCTCCCTTTTATTTTATTTTTTTTAATTTTTTTTAATGTTTATTTATTTTTGAGACAAAAATTTTTTTAATAAAAATAAAATGAGGCCATTCGCAAGGCTGCATGTTGTACTACAGTAAATCTACAATAACTGAATAGGTCACTTGTTGGCTTCACCTAGGATAAGGTTATCCAGGCAAGCATAATAGAGGGATATAAGGGAAGAAAAGATAAGGGCATGTTTAGAGGTAGATTATAATGGTGGCCCATGCAATCTCATCCAGGTACAGAAAAAACTAAGTACAAGAAGAGGTGATAATAAAATGAGTGGATTAAAGGTCCTGATGCAGTTAAAAAATGTTAGGGTGCGAAAGGGAAAACTATGGAGACAGTAAAAAGATCAATGGTTGCCAGAGATTGGGTAGGAGGGAAGGGACAGAAGAAGAGACAGAGCACAGAGGATTTTTTAGGGCAGTGAAATTACTCTGTATAATACTATAATGGTGGATACATGTCATCATAAATTTGTCCAAACCATTGGACCATTATAAATGGTCCAAACCATTTGTAGAATGTACAGTACCAAGAGTGCTCCACAAGTAAACTATGAACTCAGGGTGCTAAGGATGTATCAATGTAGGCTCACTAATTATAACAAAACGTAACACTCTGGTAGGGGATGATGATAATGGAGGGGGTATACATGTATGGGGGAACGGAGTGTACGATAAATCTTTATACCTTCCTCCCAATTTTGCTGTAAACCTAAAACTGCTCTAAAAAATAAAGTCTATTTTTAAAACTGAAGGAGCTATTAAAATACTCCCAGATAAACAAAAAGTGAAAAAAATTCATCACTAGTTGACCTGTCCTGCAAGAATATTTAAAGGAAGTCCTTCACATTAGACATTAGACAGCAACTTGAATTCAACCAAAGAAATAAGAGCACCAGGGAAAGTAACAACATAGCAAATGTATAGACAGTATCATGTGATTTTTTATTGTAATTATTTTCTTCTCATATCTTATAAAAGACAATTGCATAAAGCAGTAAATATAAAACTTCACTGGTGGATTTAAAATGTATAAAGATGCAATTTATATGATAGTATAGCACAAAGGAGGGGGAAGAGAACAAACCTACAATGGAGCAAAGTTTTTGTACATTATTGAAATTAAGTTGGTACTAATCTGAACTAGATTGCTATTAAGTTGTTAGTTGTAATTCTCTGGGAAACCATTAAAAAATTACAAAAAATGTATATATTAAAAGAAACAAGGGAACCAAAACAGTATTCTAGAAAATATTTATTCAATTCAAAAGAAAGTGGTAATGTAAAAATACAGGAACCAAAAAAAAAATTCGAAACATAGAAAACAAATAGCAAAATGGCAGGCATAAATCCTGCCATATCAGTAATTACATTAAGTGTAAATGGACTAAATATTTTAATCAAAAGGCAGAGTGTGGTTGTCATCCTGCAGAAACAGGATGGGTTTTTCACCCCATATTTGCTCAGATATCAAGGCTGATGACGCTACACATGTACCAAGAGTGAACATAAGATGTATTATTCACATAATGAGTTCTGGGGAGAGTATGGTAGGTTCCCAAGAAGGTCCAAAAATGGCTTGAGACAGCAGGGAAGGATGACTAGCTTGGGATTTTATGGTGATTAAGAGATGAGAGTTCCCTTGTGGGGGTCAGGGCTTGCATGGCTTGAACTTTCCACCAGTGCTAAGGGAGGAAGCATCCAGTCTTTTTATCAAATTGCCCAGATATTAGGCAGAAAGTGGGGGGGGGGGGGGGGTAGTGTAACTTGAAAGTTGTCAGCAGTCAAATATCAAAAAAAGTCACACTGTTACACAGAGATTGGCAAAATTGATAATGGATCTAACTATCTGCTATATAGAGAGATACACTGTAGATTCAAAGACCTAAATAGGATGAAAGTAAAAGAATGGCTACCAGAACTGGCCACCAGCAACAGACAGTCTGAATAAACGTATAACAAGTGAAAAGATTAAATCAGTAATCTAAAGACTACTCACAAAGTAAAGCTCAGGCACAAATGTCTTCACCACTGAATTCTACCAAGTATTCAAAGAAGAATCAATACCAATTCTTCTCAAATTCTTCCAAAGAACAGGAGGGAATATT